GGCCTGACCTTTTGTTGTTCCTGATTACAGCCAACCACCATGGCTTCCCTCTCTTGTTCCTAAACCTTCTGGACTATTGACTTTTATGTCCAATGCTGAAAACTTGACTAAGGCCAAGGGTCTGGCTTCTTGGGTCTTATCTTTACCAGGCATCATTGTTATCCTTGGTGACGAACTCTTCATCAGCACTCTCTTGCATTAAGTGCTTCAGGTGTGCTATTTTCTTATCAACCGTCATTTCAGCTGTTCCATCAGGTTTTCTCAATATACTGAGTGGTGTCACTCCTTCAGTATATAACTTGGCCTCTGCAAAATCAGCACAAGTGATAAAGGGTTGAGGGTCTGCGTTGATCTCCTCTGTCTCTCCATTGCATAGGACCATCATCATTTTCTGATGTAGAGAGGAAGGCACACATTTGTTGGTGTGGATCCAATCCCTGCTAAATAAAGCATTATACTTGGCATTACTATCTATAACAAAGAATGCTGTCATGCAATCTCTAGTTCCCACACTCAAGTTAATGGGCAGGATACCCTGAGCCATTTGCTTATCCCTAGTGAAACCAGCAATGGTTGTGCTGGTTGGGATTAGTCTGGGGTTTCTTTTTCCCAATTTCTTCAAAGAGGACTTCGGAAGTAGGTTCACTACTATCCCATTATCCACTAACATCCTGTTCATTTGTATCCCATCGAAATAAGCCTTGATATACAAGGGCTTAATGTGCTACGTCATAAATGTTGTAGGGTACTCGAAGGGATACGAGAGATTAATACTCTCCTCTCACCTCCTCACTTTCATCTTCAATTTCCATTGGCGTGGCCACTTCAGACTCATCTTGAATCATGCTAACCTGTGAATCTTCACTAGAAACTGGAATAGGGTCATCTTCCTGACCTTCTTGGTTTCCATCTTCAGCCCGGAACTCCTGTGGCAGTATATATACCATGTTTACTGACACTAGAGGAAATGAGCCAAACTGAACTGCTGGTTGTACTTGTTTCTCTCCCAAACTAACTTATTCAGTTAGTTCGGAAACATCTTCCATGCTGTACTCTGGTACCTCTGTGCTAGCAGGTTCCTTTAAAACAGCCTGTTAGTGATTTACCTCCGTTGGCTTATTAACCAAAAAGGTTTGCTCAGCTATGAAAGCCTCAAATATTCCATCTTCAGCCAATGTTCTCTCTTGGCCTAGTTCAGTCCGTTCATCCGTTTCATCGTCGCTTTCTATTAAAGCCTTCTCGAGGCCTGCTAAACTGGATTTTTCTTTGGCCCTTAGTTCAGCATGAACTTTAGCCAACTTCTCCATGCTGGCACTCCTCTTGATCTTGGGAACAGGCTTTGAACCTATCCCTCCATCTGTCTGATCCTTTGTTTGTGCCATAGAAGTGCTCTCTCCAATTTTTTTCAGATCCTTCTAATACTGGGTGTATCTTCGTTGGATCTTCCTTCTTTAAGACCTAGAAATTGTAGAAACCACATCCGGCTCCTTTGTTTTTGGATTCTTTAATAACATCCAGCTGTTTGAAGCCACCAAGGGAGGTTTGATCATTGTTCCCTGGTCTCCAAAAACCTTTCTTTGAGTTGACATCTCCTTAGGTTTATTTTGCATGACAAACCAATCTGGAACTCCTGGGACCCATGAGCCCACTGGTCTAGCTACTGGATCTACTACCCCACTCTTTGAAGCAGTCTTCGAAGCAGTCTTTGGAGGCCAATTATCAATCTTGGTCCCATGCTTGTACTGAATCCATGCCTCATTTCAAGCTGGTTGTCTACTCTGTAATAATTGGGTGACTTAGTTATACATGGGCCTCTTTCCCTTTGACTGCATCCTGGTGTCTGGTGGAGTTACCAAGGACAAATGTTGTTTGGGGCCAGTTGGGTATGGCCTCTTGTTATGAGTGCTGGTTATTCGGTCCCACTACACCTCTTTGTAATGTTGCTTCCTATCAACTGGGAGCCCTTTCAACCACTTGTAACACATTCTGCACCTGGGGCATATTCTCTGCACTATAGCAGCTTCGAGAGAGTCATCATCCAACATCTCTTCACTAGAGCTTTCTATTAGGCCTGCAGAGCTTTGTCCATCAGCTGGTGAGCTTCTTGTGTTCTTCTTGAGAGTAGCATGGCTAGCCACATGCATCTGCATAGTGACTTCCTCCAATTCTTTCAGGGATAGGTTTTGGAAATCTGGCATGCCAACATTGGCTAGAACCTTTCCAATTTCTGGAAATGGGTTGGTGTCAATTCCCATAGCTTTCTCAGACTTGGCTGGAAACTTTAGCCTTCCCTTTCGAATCTGTTCTTAGATCCTGTCCTGGAAAACAATACAGTTTTTAGTTGAATGGGACCAAAAATTATGCCATTTACAATATAGTTTTCCTTTAAGTTCTTCTAGGGTAGGAATCTTGACTCCCTTTGGTAACTTTAGGAAATTTGCTACAAGCAAATAATAAAAAATGTCATCTACTTTTGTTAAGTCAAAAGAATACTTCCTATGCAGGTCTTTCTTTTTAAACTGCTGGTCTATTGTGCTGTCTTTCTAAATTAATGTCTCACAAGTCATAGGTTCTTTTCCTACTATTTCTACTGCATCAATTTCATAATTAGGGTCCCTATAGTAGGCTTTATATGATGCATTACTTCGATCTTGTTCTTCCTCGAGTAAAGTTTCATATCTAGACACCTTATAGGTTAACTCTACTAAGTCTCGAAACTCAGTTGAAACAAACTTTTTTCGAAGCCTAAATTCCAAGCCATTCTGAGCCAATCTTACAAATCCAGACTCTGGTAGCATGACCCTGCATTTGTTTCGTACCCTTTTAAATCTGGTAATAAATTGACCAGCCTTCTTATCAGGCCTTTGGCTTAATCTTGCCAAGTTTGCCACAGAAACTTCAGGTTTTGTTTGGAAAAATTGGGCATGAAAAACTTCATTCATTTGCTGCCAACTTTGGATAGAGCTAGGTGTAAGGTTTATGTACCATACGAAGGCTGCTCCAGTTAGAGAACTTGAAAAAAGTCTCAGTTTGATGTAATCATTATTAGCAAACTCACCACATTAGCTTATAAACCTAGCAATGTGTTCCACTGTTGACTGATTTCCATTACCATAAAAGAGGGCAAAGTCTGGTATTTTAAACCCCCTAGGATTCTCGTGTACCCTATCTACCCACTCTAGGTAAGGTTTTCTATATACTAGTGTCTGAACCCCCCGAGCCATAGGTCCACACATTTCTCTAACTATATTAGCATTTGGTCCTTTGGAACCATATTTTGTGCTCGTTGAACCACTACTGGAAGGACAAACACAGGATTTGGAAGAACACCATGTGCTTGTGGGCCTCTTGGTCCATACACGGGTACATTCAGGGCTGGTTGTCCCTGTTGTACTGGCTGCTGTTGAAGGTATGGCTGGCCTCTTGGGGCCTGCCCTGCGAAAGGTCCTGCGAAAGGTACCACAAGAGGAGAAGTAAGTGTTGTTTCTCTTCTAATTGCAAGAAATCCTTCTAACCCCCCAGGTGCAAACTCAAACACAGGGTTGGTGAAACCCCTTGTGCCAGGCATGTTCTCTCAACATAGGATTTGGAAATGCCCTCATGCCATTACCCTAGGCTGGTTCAGATCCACCAAATTGTATAGTTTCGTTGGTAAAGAATGGTGCATTCTAAGTGGCCATTGGTCTCGAAGGAATTTCATACCATGACTAAGGCACAGGTGCTGGCCTCTCATGGTTGTGACTACTAGTCTGACCATTGACTTGTCCATTATTTTGCATAGGTTGTTTATCTCGAGGCAATCGTCGCTGAGGACTATTTACATTTTCTTCAGTTTATTTTACAGTAGTTGGTTGATAAGAATTCATTCGATCCAAAAAGGATGTTGCCCATCTTTCCATTGTATACATTAGTTGTTGTCCCATAGTATCTACTAAATCTCCCCACGGATTCAGTGGTTAGGTAGAAGGAACATTCGAAGGTCCAGTCTCATGACCCTGTCCAGTGTATTGGACATATATAAGTGTTGGTTTGTTCGACCGTTTTTGGAGGATCTAATGGGAAAGGTGCATCCATCACATTGTCTTCTAGGTTAGGTATTTCTACCTCTCCCTCTACACCTACGTCTAGCCATTTTTAATAGTCCCATTGGGCGAGCCAAAAATATGTTGGCTTTTTTGGCTTTTGAGGGTTAATGGTGTAAATTTAAGCATGCCAGCAAAGATCAATTAATCCTTATAGAAGTTATAATTGCCAACTAATTATCAAGCGATTGTGTTGAAATTCTTTCAGCCTCAATAAAGAGGACTTTTACTAGTGGCTTGTTTTAGGAGAAAGTTATGAATAGTAACACGTAAATATAATTCAGAAATCGAATTTCATTAAGCAAATGAAAACTTACAATGAAGTTACAATGACCCAGTCTCGACAAGGTTCACAGTAACAAACTACTAAAAAACTACTCCTATGAATTGAAGTGCAGTATAGGAATTGAAGTGCTGGAAATGTAAAGAACTGGAAATGTAAATAATTGAAAAGAAAATATGAAGTAAATGACTAGTTTCTAGATCTGAGTCTGGGTCTCTTCTGTTTAGCCCTCTCTGCTATTTATGCTCTTTAGTGATAACTGTCGAAGTGGCCTTCTAACCGTCGAAATACGTTTCCACAATCTCTGGTCATGGCTTCGCTCAACTAGCTCCCACTACGCCTCTTTTGCAATTAGGCTATCCTTATGAATTTGAATTTAAACTGTAGGTAACCGTTAGGTTACGTCATCTCGCGTCTCTTAACTATTCAGATGCTACACAGATCCGATACTATCAATATGAACTGCTACGTGTCTGTCTTTGATTGGAGACTTGCTTTAATTCTCCAAATCGCCCTTCAAATGCCACGTGTCATTCTGCGATTGACTTTTACAATTTATACCGCCAACACGTAGTGGATTTTTTATTTGCCATTAAATAAGCGAAATGATAATTTAGGATAAATTTAAAAAATAAATAAAAATTAGAAAACAACAAGAGCACCTTCCCCAATAATTTCTCCTGTTTTGAGCGTCGATTAATTAACTTTTGAGTGAGAAAATCGCCGGGAAACGATGGAATCAGAGAAAGCGACGAATGAAACCCTAGTCTCAGAAGCCGAGGCCAATCAAGAGCCGACACTTCAGCAGAATTCTCAGTTAGACGAAGAAGAAGAAGAAGAAGATGTTGAGGATGAAGTGGGAGTTGATGAAATTGGAATATCGAAATCGACATCGTTGGATCAGAAGGAGATTCTGAGTGCTCTGGAGGTCGTGGAGAGAGACTCGGTGGCGATCGCCGACAGCTTCACCTCTCTCTTCGCTTCCCTACGCTTGGCTCTCTCCGAGGTCAGTCAGTCAGTCAGTCAGTCAGTCAATTTTGTATAATCTTCTTCTACTTCTTTGTTATTCACCGCAATTGTTTATGAAATGTCTTGTCCAAGTTTCTATAATTGCTAGTTTCATATTATTAGATTATGTCTTCACTGACAGAAGGATAAAAATGAGGCCTTTTCAATTCGAACTGTTCTGTTTCTTTAGACGGGAAAATTTTGATTGTGATGGTGGGGGAATAATTCAATTGTTTATGAATATATTCTGATCCAAGTTTGTGTAATTGTTAGTTTCATATTCTCAGATTTTGTGTTCATTTGAAGAGGGATAAAAATGGAAAATTGTGCATTTGGTTTTGGTTGAAAATGAGGACTTGCTCTTGGAAGAGTTCTGTTTCTTTAGTTAGGAACCGATTTTCCAGCAAAAATTGATGGTGGATATCTTTATTGCAACTTTACGGTGAACCATTTTTCCTTATTTGGTATGGCAAAACTGTTGAGTGAAAAATTGATGTATGCAGTTTGTTTGACATTGTTGAAGTGGTAGATGATAGTGGATTTGGATTCTAGACTAGAGACCTGAAGTAAGCTGTACGAGAATTTAAAAGATTGTGTATATATTATAGGTGTCAGTTTGATAATCTATTAAGTCAAATAAACATGGTCAAAATATGTATGAAGTAGGGATTTTTTAATTTCTATGGAGTTGAAATTGGATTTTTTTGATTGAAGATTGTGTCTATCTGGTGACACAAAGTAATATTTTGCAGGTAACAAGCACTTCAGTTGACCATATGCGATGCTTCAGTGATGCTGCAGGCCGACTTCAAGAATGTGGTAAATTGTGATTATAGTGATTGATATTGTGCTTTATATATTTATGTGTTTAATAAACTCAAAATGTTTTGGTAGAATTGAGAGTAATTGAATTTTTGTGTTAAAAATTGTTGGAAATTATGGTTTTTATAAGGATTTTTTAAGGCTTGTTTTGGGCCTTCTTTGAGCCTAAATTTGAGTAGGGCCCACACGTCTTTTGGGGTGGGTCTAAAGAGGTGACGTGTTCCTTACCGCATGGCAAGTCACACGGTTCGTCAAAACCATTTTTAAGTGAATGGGAACTTGAAGTCGTTTTGGGGTTTATGGAATGGGAAATTAAAGAGTCAAATGTGGGTTGCCTTAAAATAGTTGTCCCACATTGAAACTTTAACAGAGCTTGTGTGTGTATATAAGCTCTAGGTGAACAAACTTGAGTTGGGCCCCAAGGGCACCTCAAATTTGTAGAAGGAAGGAGTTATGGACAAAATGGGCTTTGGCTCAAACCACCACACGGGCACCGGGTGCGGGTTGTGGGTCGGGTCCTAACATCAATTTTTTGGACAAAATTCATTTGAATTTTTGCAGGAAAATTATTTGAATTTCTGAACGGAATTAATTCAAATTTTGCGCCAAATTTGAATTCAACTGTTTCAAACATATTTGAATTCTATATCTGTTCAGTTTGAATTCTGCACCTGTTCAGTTTGAATTACACCTGTTTAGTTCAAAATTGCACCTATTCAAGTCTTTCGAAAAGGCACCAATTTGCCTATAAATTAAGACCTTCTTCCAGTAGTTTGTTCAATCCGAAAATTTTCTTGTTGTCTTCCATTTTGCTCTCTTGTATATATATATATTCTTCATATTATTAATTTTAGACAAAATTCTAAGAGTATAGAACACAGGTTCTAATTCGCCGAAACAAATTGTTTTTAGTGCTAATACAATCTGTGAAAGATCCTTATATCTTGGGAGATGAACGCCATTATTCCGTAAGCACCTGAGTAGGGCGAATCTGTCTTAAGGACATAGTGTCACACTCATTCGTGTTCTTAAGTTGTTTCGGTAAATGAATTTTGTAAGTAATTTATTTTGTTTATTTGATTTATTTCTAGTTATTTATTTTATACTGAAGATTGTTCCAACAAAAATATAGGATATCCATATAATTGTCATTTCCCTCCATGGCATCGGTCTACAATCCAGTATGATTATGGCTTCTAAGGTGCTCATAGGTTGCCTGACACAAGAAGAGAAGAGAAGGGAAAATTTATTGCAAAAAGGAATTAAGTTCTTTGCAATCTTTCTGCCTGCTTTCTCTTGTTGAACAGAGGAATGCAAAAGAATATACTACTAGCCGAATTGAAACAGTTATTTAGCATAACAGTTCTCTAATACAAGTTGAAGCTCACTAGAAAAGTCTATGATTTAAATTCCTGTGGTGGTTTAGGAAGGTTATGGGTGGTTAACATGTTATGGTTGCTTCACCCTAGTTTGGTTGGAAGGAATTGGTGCCGATACTTGTAGTGTAGTTTTGTGAGACTTCATTCATCTTACTATAAGTGAATGCACAATATTACTGACTGCATTTCCTTTAGGGCTTCAATTTTTGTTTTTGTATTATATTTGGTACCATCTCAATTTAATGAAAAGTTCTCAACATTGAGTATATTCATTTTTTAATTTGGTAGTGTCTGGCCGTAGACTCTCTCTTGCGGCTTCCACTTCATGGCTGCAGAGATCCTGCTGCCAGTGCCAGGCTTTATTCTTTACCTTTCCATCACTTGCCCAGTTGCCCTTACAGAAGAGCTTGGTGATAGTAGCAAAACAACAGTTAGTTTTTGGTTGAGGTTTTATTTCTGCATTAGTTTCTCCTTGTGACTTTTTATATCTCTCTCTCTCTCTCTCTCTCTCTCTCACACACACACACACACACACGAGGCTCACTTTTTTTATATTTCATCCTTAATTATTATTAAACCCAATTGTTGCTGACCTATATTTTGGATCCTCTGACTTGAATTTTATTCTTCTTTTGCAGCACTTGATGCAGCAACAAAAGGGAATCGCTATATAAATTCCTGTCTCAGGTATATAATTTGATTTCACCTTGCCATTTTGATAAATCCTGATAACTTTTAAGCATGTTTTGATCAATTTTGAACTACTGTTCAGAAAGGATGTTTTGCTTGGTTCTAATGGCATTTACATGGGAAGTTATGGAAACTGGAGCTTGACAATAACTGTGCGACAATATACATTTTGTGGCAATATCTAAGGCCAACTTTTTAGTAGTTAGTTAAAATTTAAAATTGAAGTACTGCCAAAATGAAAGGAAAAGAAAAGGAATAAATTTTGATAAATTTCGTTGGGAGGAAGGTTGGTTGTTGCCTGTGTCATTTTGTACTTCTGCAGCCAGTTGGTGACTCGAGACTTTCAGGGATCTTAAATCAAATCTAGAACTGGAACTTCAGATATAAATGTGGGAGCTGCTACTCCTTGGGGATTGAACTTCAGTGCCTTCATTATGACATCAAATATTATCATTTTACATATAAAGGAACTTGCATTTGCACTGACTCTTTCTTGTGGAACTTGCTTGTTTGCAGATTAAATGAGGAAATAAAAGGCATGGATAGTCTAGCCACACAACTGTATCCTTGGTTTTACTTGAGCTTACTTTATATATATTGCTTCTCCCTACTCCTTTCTTGTATGATAAATTTCTAAGGTTCAAGACCAGAGAGACTGACATCCTTCTTTTTTTCCCTTTTCATTTTTATTTATTATTTCATTTTTTCAATCGTACATTAATAACACTCGCACATATTGACATCAAGGGCCAAAGAACTTTCTTGGTGGTTCATTGGTGTTATGCCAAGTTTTGACAAGCTAATATTCTGAATTTTGAATCAGAACTTCAAAACCTTGGTAGCATTCGATGTAATCTTTCATCTATACAAAGATTTTCACTCTGCAGTTCCATTGGATTTGCTTCCTTGATGTTTGCAAAGAAAAATTCTGAGGAAGAACGTAGATACTTTGGACTCGGCTGTGAATAGGCTCCTACGTCTTCCATGATGGTGATATTCTTGACACTGATTTTGTCAGTTACAAAGATTGCTTCTTCAAATTTCTTTGTACCTGTGATGTGCTAGTTTACTTGATTATTTTTTTAATGATTGTTTCAGTGTGGTTGATATTACCTCTATACTAATATATGAAGGCAGAAGGCTATTGGTGTTGTGTGGATTTTGTTCCATACCAATATTATCCTCAAATTGTTCATTTATTATGGTTTTTATGGCTGATATTTATGCATAATTAAAGGTCAAAATTGGAATATCAGAATTTCATGACACCAGTTGAATTTACCCTCAAGGTTATCCACTTCCCTTAATCAAAAGCCTTCATTAGTTTCTATTTTCTTTTATGATGATGTTTGTACATACAAATATGTCGATATATAAAAGAGAGATATTGGATAATGACAAATTTGTTTCTGTTTCGACGATATCAATTTGTTTGGATATGAAGGTGATGGAATTAAGGCACAAGAGAGAAAACCCAGAGAGGGTAGGCAATGGAGGGATCAAAAAAAGCAAAGCAATGTTTCCTTCTTTGAATCTCTTAGTTTTGTGTTCTCTAAAATACCTTCACTCCATCACAATATCAAGATTCAAACATAGCAATGTTTTGTTTTTTAAAATCTTTTAGTCAAGAATGGAAATCAAGCTATTAATTCAATCAACGATACTACATGTTTATAAAAATTAACTAAAAAAGTGAATAGACGGATTATATTCATTCTGTGATTTCACTTATGTTAAATATATACATTCATTGGAGTAAAATTCGAAATAAATTTCCATGGTACATAGCATTTTTGTAACTCGATGATAAGATTTTCAAAATCGTAGCCATGTCTCTAATGCACTTCTAGATTTATGATTGTGTTTTAAGATTTTGAAAATCTTGGTTATGTCTCCAATGCTTTGATACTAAATGATACAAATCTCTTAAAATAGAATTCACTTTTGAAAGTCAGTTTACAAGAAGAGGGATCCCAAATGATTTATATTACTAAGGCTAATTATATTTTGTTCGGATGTGAAACCATAATAGATTCCGCATAATTGAACCCTTACCTGTTATCCTCAGCTCCACTCCAGTAGAATTACATAAACTCATATGAAACCAAAATGGGTTGGCATATGATTATCTCTCAATTTGAAATTAATCACTCCAAAACAAAGAAAATATAACAAACTTAAAAATAAGGGGAAGGTGGATTGGGGTTTTTTTGTTTTTTGTTTCCACTTTTGCCAAGATAACATTCATTAGTGCAAATAAAGAGCATACAACAAGGACAAGTCATTATTATACAAGTTCATAATACAGCAAAATTCCCAAGGGCAACTAATCTATTACAAAACAACTCATGAGAATGAGAGAGAGAGCGAGAGAGAGAATGTGGGGGAAATCTACCTAAATCACTTCCACTTCAAGAATCAATAGAAAATGTGAAGGAAAAGGACTTAATTGTATAGAGGATAAACCCTAGCAACCCTATGCAATATAATTATTATAATTTAAAGTTGAAAAAATTAAAATAAAAAATAAACATTTAGTTACATTGCTTGATTAATTTCGTTGATAATATTCTTTACAGTCCAATTGCATCAATAAGACAGAGTCTTAGTAAACCGATTTGTATTTATTCAATGTGTAAATTAAACACAATGTGGTGATCCTAATAATGTGTTCAACTATCCAAACAATTATTTAAAAGATATATATATATATATATATATATACATATGTGGGGAGTGGTTTTGGAATACTCCTTTAATCCAAACAAACTCTTGAAAGATCCTTAAGATGTCACCTGAAACAAAAGAAAAAATCTAGTCGGTGGTGCCTGAATTAGCACTCCGACGAGCAAGGTAGTTTCTTTAGAAAGAAGAGCCTTTGCTACCTTGATATTTTCTCCTAAAGCTTAGCCCTTTATCATCATTATGTCAAGGCCCATCTTCCTATTATACTTTTCAGAAGAGGACATTCTAGGCCCACCTAAAGGGGTCATGCCAACTTATCTAATATACTCGGCTCAAACACACGGTCTAGGTATCCTTAACTCGGCATGTTTTTCATCCCATTTGTATCTACTCGACAATGACTTGTTTGAGTCCAATAGGTCTTGGCTAAATCTAGCCTATCAAAGATGGGCTTGGATGTATTCTGTTTGCCGATTAGATTTATTTCTATTCATCTCCCAATATATATATATATATATATTAAAGTAATTCTCGGTTACAGTTTTTTTTGGTAAATTCTTTTGCAAATATAGTTCCAAGCATCCAATAATTTCTTCTTTTTTTTAATGGTGAGAAACTTTTCTAAGGCACACATCTCTACATATTAAATTATAGATATTTGTAGTCACCAGTTGAATTTACCCTCAAGGTTATCCACTGTCCTTAATCAAAACCTCCATTAGTTTCTATTTCTTTTATGATGATGTTTGTACATACAAATATGTTGATACATAGAAGAAAGATATTGGATAATTACAATTTATTTGTGTTTTGTTGGTATCAATCGGTTTGAATATGAAGGTGATGGAATTAAGGCACAAGACAGACAACCCAGAGAGGGTAGGCAATGCATGGATCAAAAAAAAAAAGGTAATGCTATGCTACACGCAGCTTAAAAGGTGGGTATCATATACATTATTATTTTTGTAGTATATATTATGTATTTGTGCTAAAAGTTATTTATTTTTTTCTAGTAGAGTTAAGGCAATTTATGATTTATAAATGAAGTTACGTGTTTTGTAATAATGTTACGTATTTTTGTGATAATGTTATAAATTTTTTGGTTAAAAGATGTTTGGATAAAAAAATATATAACATTACCACAAAATGCGTAATTTTATTTCCGAATCACAAATTATCGGTGATGGAATTAAGGCAAAAGACAGACAACCCAGAGAGGGTAGGCAATGGATGGATAAAAAAAATAAAGGTAATGCTATGCTACACGCAGCTTAAAAGGTGGGTATCATATACATTATTATTTTTGTAGTATATATTATGTATTTGTGCTAAAATTTATTTATTTTTTTCTAGTAGAGTTAAGGCAATTTATGATTTATAAATGAAGTTACGTGTTTTGTAGTAATGTTACGTATGTTTGTGATAATGTTATAAATGTTTTGGTTAAAAGATGTTTGGATAAAAAAATATGTAACATTATCACAAAATGCGTAATTTTATTTCCGAATCACAAATTATCGTATTTCTACTAAAAAATTATGTAATATTTTATTATAAAAATATATAACATACACTATAAAAATACATAATAAGTGTATATGATACGCACTCATAAATTTACACCATACATTTATTCGGAGGTTTCTTTAATTGTAAATTTACACATACATTTATTTTCAGAGCAAAAATATTAAATTTACAAAATACATTCATTTTTAGAATAAAATTTGAAATAAATTTTCATGATACATAGTATTTTTGTAATGGACAATAAGAATTTCAAAATATTGGCCATGTCTCCCATCACCTCCTAGATATATTATATTGTTTTTTAAGATTTTCATCACAAGATTTTCGAAATTTTGGTGATGTCCCCATGCTTTGATATTAAATGATACAGATCTCTTATATAGGATTTACCTTTAAAAACCAAAAAATTGTTAGTGAATTTCAAATAAGTACTTACCAACTAGTCTCATTAATTAGAATTATTTATTTACATACTTTGACTGATAAGTTTATTACTGTAAATTTATTTATAAAAATAAGAGAAATTGATAAATTTATCACTTGATAAATTTATCAATAAAATTTAATGGGTAATAAATTCCGAAAGTAAAGTCTATTGGTAATTTACCCTCAGATAATTTATACTAACAAGGCTAATTATATTTTGTTTTGACGTGAGATCGTAATAGATTCCATATCATTCAACCCTTGCTTGTCATCATAAGCTACAGTAGAACTATATGATCTCTTAAAATCAAAACCAAAATGGTTTGGGCATTATTACATCTCAATTTGAAATAAATCACTACAAAACAAGAACAAAAAACTTGTTTGGGGGGTTTGAACTGGGGTCCAGGTTGGGTGGGGTTGATTATTCGGTAGTCTGAGAATACCGTCACGTGATATTTTATGATAATATGATTAGTGGAGAAAATAAAGTATTTATTATTTATGTTAGGTAATTAAGAAACATAAACGATATAATAAATAGTAAGCAATCAAAACAAAATTGTATATATAAATATATAAAATTATTTGCTAATTTATTTTTTAATAATAAATAAGATTAATTAAAAGTTTAATATTAATGAACAAAAGCAAAAGGAATATGCTTTAGTTTTTTCAATAGAATTTTTTCATTATGTTTAAAAAATATACCTTTTAGAAAGGGATTATTAAATAAGTTGATTTTAAAAAAATGACATTTTATAATGGTATAAAATAATTTAAATATAATAAAATTAAATTTCTTACAAAATAAAAGTATCTGGATAAGAAAAAAGGTGAGAAGAAAATTTAGAATGGTATTCTCATTTGATCTAAAAATAATTCTAGATGACCAATAAATTATCACATATAACCCTCATTTTTTTAATATAAAAAAGATATTTCACGAATCATTACTTTTAGCAGAAAAATAACATTTATTTCTATTTTGTTTTGGCAAAAGTTACTTTTTAGCAATTTGAGTAAAAAAAAATTCATTTTTCATTTTAGTTTGTTTAATTGACATATACTGAATAAATCATAAAATATGAACGGTTCGGATTATCAAAATTGGGCCTAAAAGTAGACCCGAAGGCCTGCAAGGACGGGCGCAAGCACGGAAGCTGCAAGGAGAGGATCCTCATTCGTTTCACAAGTGCTAAAAAAGTCTAGATGAATAATTAAAAAAAATGTTTGACACTTACAAAAATACCCACAATGATGTGGTATAGTAAGTGTCATCTCTTAATTTGCTCTAAATTCAATGATATAGGGCTCAACTCCTTTGCCACATTATTGTAGGCGAAAGTATGAGCTTGTAGCATTGTTAGAAGAATAAATTATCACATGTAATTTTTTTATTATATAAAAAAATAAATTTCCCGAACCATCACTTTTACCGGAATATAATGTTTATTTCTTTTTAATTTTAGCAAAACTCACTTCTTACTATTTTAGCTAAAAAAAATATTATTTTTATTTTAACTTGTTTAATTGACAATCAAAATGATTTTTTTTTAATAGAATCCATCATATTTGGCAATGTTAAAAAAATCATTCATGTTCTTAATGTTTTTGTCTTTTTGTTAAAAAAATTGTATTAAAAAAAATTTATTGTTCAAGTTCTTGTAATTTAAAAGGACATAAAAAAATTTATAAAATTTAAAACCAATATATACATATATAAGCTTTTAATAACGATTAATAATTTGAACACGTGTATTTAATGACATATTATCTTTAGACTAATGATATTATGACACATCATTATGACATATGTGAATAATAATCTCATTCTAATTGTAATAACATAATTTAAAGAAGAATTTAAATTTAAAATTTTATGTTATAATTCAATATAATATGCATAAATTAAGGAATGAATACTGATCTCATTCCAATTATAGTAATATAATTTAAGGAAGAATTTAAATTTAAAATTTTATTTTAATAATATAAAATTAATTTATAAACCAATCATATTGTAACACATATTAATTATTCCTTCATTTGCACATCTCAAAAGGAAAGTTAATTAATCCATTGAAAATTTTAAATTTAGAAATTTAAAAAAAAAAAAGTTAACTAATCAATTTTAAAATTTAAATTTTTGTACCACTAAAATATAGGAATCGTCTTTCATAGATTTTTTTCTCTTGATGTTTAATAGTTTTATATGTATCGACATTTTAGTTGAGACCTCAAAAGATTAGTGATAGAGTTAAAGAAAATGGGTTAATCTTAAAGTTTTAAAATAAAATTTTTATGTTAGAATTTTTTCAAATGTAATTATCTTAATATTTATAAATATTTTTTATTGATTGATAAAAAGCACCATAAACATTAAGATTATTATTATTTTTTTTAATGATATTGAATTATTAAAATATGATTTATTATAGACTTGAACCAAGAATTGTTGAAAAAAATAGACACGAACTAGATTTTCTAGACATTTTTAATATTTAATCTAATATTGGAATTTCCAAATTAGCTCATATTAGTCACGAACCGATAAAGACATTTTTGAAAGATCAAGATAATTTTCAATGATTAGGTGAATGTCATATTGACATAAATATTGAGTCGACTACCTTCTAACTCGCTCCTAATATTTAGTCAATTACCACAAGTCAATCTTAATCCATTTTTACGAAAAAGTTATGACATAAGATAATTTATAATTTTGAGTAGACAAATTTTTAGGCTTTACAAAATAAGAAAAAATTAATATATTAACAAATGTAATTTACTACTATCATATGCTAAATTAAAATTACAAAATTTATAAAACAAAGTGTATTTATATTTTATCGTAAATATAGTTTTTGTAATTTATCCTTTAATTTTTACTAATTAAATTATGACATAAAATTTTTTTATTAAAAACTTATAACACACAATTAATGACATCAGAATAAAAATCTTATTTTATATGTAACTTTGATAAAAATAAATAAAATTTAATTGATTATAAATTATTTTTACTTAATATTTTAAATAAATTTATATTATTATTTTAATTTAGAAACTAATTTTTGATTAGTTATTGTACGCGTGCATAGCACAGGTAATATGCTAGTTATAATAGTATATAGATGGATAGATGGCTATATTAGGGTAAATTACATCGATATTCCTTATATTTTACTTTTTAAGTCATTTTGGTCAATGTAATCTCAATTAATTCGATTTTAACCCTTAATTTTAGATTATGTGTCAATTTGATATAATTGATAATACCGATTATCATTTTTAAAGAAAAATGGTCACTAAGTTAATTGAAGTTAACTTACTGAGTTAAACAAATTTATAATTTTGTCTATAAAAACATAACACATATCGTTTATGTGCGTATTTTCTATATAAAAAAAAAACTAAAAATTGTAATTAATTGGACCAAATTGATGTAAAATTATAAATTTATAATCAAAATTGAATCAATTAAAATTAAATAGATGAAAATGATACAATGGCCCTGTTTGGTGCAGCTTAAAAGCTGCTTATTTCTGCTTTCAGCTTAATTTAAGCTATTTTGATGTGTTTGGTTTAGCTTATAGCTTATAGCTTTTTGGAAGTCAGAAATCAACTTATTCTTTGAGTGGGGCAGGAGATGCTTAATTTATAAGTCAGAAATCAACTTATGTTCATAGTTATAAGTTATAAGCTGTTTAAGCATAAGTTATAAGCACTTTCTCACAGCTCTACCAAACAGGGCCAATGACCAAAACATAAGTACTACTAGTATAATTTGCCTTTTAAATTTTTTTGGGTATGCTCAAGGATAGTCATAGGGATAGACAATTGCACCATTTTTTCTTCTTCTTTGTAATAAAACTATTCTGTCACAATGAAAGAAAATAAAAGAAAAAAAGTTTTGAAAGGCATAAATAGTTCAACAAATATGTGTACATGTGCCTAAACGTAGTCTGGTATTTTTAAAATTTGGAAAGAGTTACAATGTTGTGTGAAGAAATTTGGACATATTGCAAGATTTTAGTAAAGGTGAAATCAAAATTTAATAATTTGCAATATAAATTCAAATTTTGGATTTGATTGGACAATTAAGAAAAAGTTGATCTACTCATATGGGGAAAATAAAATAGTAATTATGCAAAATAAATATTCATAATTTTTATGAAAAATTTTCTATACAAATGGTAATATATTCTTAAAAGAACAATCAATCCCGAAAGTTTGAAAAACAATTTCATATACAATAAGTAATGAAATGTTTATATTTAAATTCCGAATAAAAATAGTGAATTTAAATAACTTTTAAAATTTCCATATTATTAAAAGAATATGAAAAGCATCACTATCTTTAAACCATTCAATTTTAAATAACCTGTGATGCTTCTTGGATAACTTTTTTCAAATTGATTTTGTATTCCTAAATTAGTGTATTTGTATTTGATTTTGTATCCCTAAATTAGTGTATTCCTATCTAAACTGATTTTGTATCCCTCAACTTACCCTAGCAACCTAATCTTCGAGGCTCTTGCAAAAGAATCCTAATCGTCATTTTGTTCTTCCGCCATGCTGCCTAACACGCACTCCGGTAGAGGACGTTGCTTCCTTGTGGTCATTGACCAGCCTTCTTCCATTACTTGTGGTCATTGACCAGCCTTCTTCCATTACCAGGGGCTGTAGTTGCGGCAGTAGCTGTGAAATCTCATATTTTTGAAGTGTTCATATTTTAGTGAGAAGTATTGATGATTCATTATAATATTTTAGTAATTTATTAAATTCTATACTGAAACAAACTTTTCAAATCATAAAATTAAGCCCTAGTCCTCATAATTTAGATAAAATATATTTGAACCCTCCAGAAAATCAAAGAGTGTTTGTGTACATCTTGAACAAAGATTATTAAGGAAGCTTTGAAGAATTATTGAAGAAGTTTTGATAGATTATTGAGGAAGTTTTGATAAAATGTGGAAGAATCCTTGATGGATTGTTAAGAAAGTTTTGATGGATTATTAAGGAGGCTTTGATGGATTACTAAGGAAGCTTAGGAAACTTGGATAGATTTTTGAAGAAGCTTTGAGAAAATTATGGAAGAAGCTTTTGAACTCTATAAATACACCACTCCCCTCCACATTTTGGAACAAACAACACACTTATATACTACCTATATACACCCCATGGTTGAGAGAAGAGGAGAGTTATAGATTTTGTAAGTATTACATATCTTATACCTTAGAATTCACCATTTTTGGACATCCATGGAGAAATATCGAGATTAGAGTATTGGTGATGGAGGAGATTGATTTGAGGTAATTTGAGTGGTATACAATATGTTTTCTTTAAATCTCTTTACAAAGAGTTTCATTTTAATTACCTTTAATTTGTAAATCCTTTTAATTATTCTGGTCATTTGATAAATTTTATAAAATTATTCTTGATTCGTTTGATTACTCTAGTGTAAAGTGTTGGAGAATAAGAAAAGTTCAAAAAAAACATGAGCCAGAGAGTTATAACTCGATTTTTTCTTTTTCAATTTATGTAGAAACGACTTTTCGAAAGCCGTTTTATAAAACATTTTTTTTCTAAAATCATTTTATAAAATAATTTCTGAAACCCATTTTTTGTATATCTTATATTTTTGTTAAAAAAAAATATTTATGTTGAAAATGAATTTTAAAAAAAAAAATAGTGTAAAAATATAGTTTAGAAAATCTTTTTTAATTAATTAAGCTTTAATTGAAATGGCTTGTGATAAATGTTTTTTTATTATATTTTAACCAATTTTGTAAGGTAAACCGTGGCTTTTTTAGAAAACGATTTTGGCAAAACTGGTATAATGAAAAAAAAAAAAAAAAAAAAAAAAACTCACCCTAAAGTGGGGATAAACTTTTGGCACTGCCTTAGAGCATTTACAATAGAGTGATTAAAAATGTACGTTAAAGAAAAAAAAAAAAAAAAAAGGACAAAAACTCACCCTAAAGTGGGGATAAACTTTCGGTACTGCCTCAGAGCATCTACAATAGAGTATTAAAAATGTACATTAATGTATGTTATATGATAAAAAATGATAAAAGTAAGATTTTAAAATAAAATAATTATTCAATAATTTAAAATAATGGATACGTGATATTTTATAGTATTATAATTGGTGGAGAAAGTGGAATATTGTATTGGATAATTGGACAACATGAGGGACATATTGAATGGTGATTAATTAGAAAATACAGACACGTAGTAGTTCGGAAATATTGAATAATTTCTTCCAAAAATGTGTGTTAAGAATTTATTAATTTAATAAGTGGATGGTGATACAATAGATATGTTAAGGTCTGTTTTAAAAATATATATATATAAACAATAAATAAAATAAATAAATAATTTAAAAGTACGGTCAACCCGCCCTGCCCTTTCCCAGTGACCCTCTCTCTCTCTTGTTAGCTGATTATCCAACTTGTTAACTGTAACCTGGCAAGCTTAATTATATGTTTAGCAGCTCCATTGTAGCATCATTTAAGTCCACCACTGATCAAAATTTTAAAATCTGACACTAACATACACAGTAACACTTGTGGATGCTCTTAGTCACGGAAATCAACCCTCTCTCTCCCTCTCAGAGAGGGAGGAGAGAGGAAAGAACGGCGGCTCCGGCGAGAGAGAGTGGGTGAAGTCGGAGGAGGAGAGCGATGGTGGGGCGAGACGGAGGCGATGAGGTCGCACGATCTCAGATCTGAAGCTGGAGACTCTGACGGTGGAGTTGTTGGCCGCCGCCATCGCCGGCGGAGACGACCGATGAGGTCTCGCCGCCCTCTTCTTTCTTCACCGATCTCTCTCTGTCTCTAGGGTTTCAATCTCTCTCTCTCTTCCTCTCAAACGCATCGCCCTCTCTCCAATCTCTTCCCTCTCCCTCTCCCTCTCCCTCTCTCCAATAGTTTCGGTGGATCAAACCGAAGGCCGAGGTATAGCCATTTTTTAACACATTTGAGTTGGTGCTCGCTTGTAGGAAGATTCCCCGCTCTGAAGTAAAGTCTTTTTGGAGCTCAACGCCGGAGTCCACACCAGGGCACATCGAAAGGCAACTTCTCCCTCTCATGGCACACGTCTCTCTCTCTCTATCAAATAGATGCCGCCAGAGGAGGTCTCATCACTGACCAGGAAGAAAAGATTGAATCTCGCAGTCTCACGTAACCTCTTGGATTGCAAAATTAGGGTTTTGACTTCAATTTGGGTACAGAATCACGAAACAGGTTTTCAGTCTTACCTTCAATTTTTGTGCAGAATCGTGCTTTTGATCTTAAAATACATTTATGATTTTATTTTATTTTACTCTTAACTACTACTTGAAAATCTGAGATAAAGATGACACAGTTGAGCTATCTCAATATAATATTTTGATAAAATAAGTTTCAATAAAAAAGTTAAATTTAAGAATTCTTTAATTTTAACGCAACCAAGCTGGGAGAGTTGGTTTTAACGAAAACTCAATAAAAAATGTTGATATTTTGCAGCCTGAGGTTTGAAGTCTTGTCACTTACTACAACATTTAGTTTGTTGGCCTAATTTGTGATGGCTTGGTGGTAATTATGAATATTTGTGCAGGATTAATGCTGAATTTTTTTTTTTTTAGAATTTGGAAGTAAATTAAGTTCTAAACTTGGAAGGGGTCATTAAAACCTTAATTGTACCTCTAGATTAAGTTTAAATTTATAATTTTTATTTATCCTATATAACGGCCCTGTTTTAGTATGTACTAATTGGGCGTTGTTTTTTTAACGTCCATACTTTACTTTTTTTGACTCTTGTATTGTTTTAGTATTAGAGTTATAGAGCTAATTTGTAATTAATTTCACTAATTCGGTTGCTGGTTTTGATGAAGTTTTTCTATGATAATTGTGTTTGACTTGCCTTGATTGTCACGGTGTGCGGCTGGTTGTTGCTCTTTCATTAGGAATTGCTGGGAGTTTTAGGAAGGCATGTGTATTTTGTTTTTGAGTTTTGTTGCTAGGAGATTTAGAAAAATGTTTTAATCGTATTCTTACAACCTTGAAACCAAATAAAGAAACTACTTCGTGAGATCGATAAATCCAACTTAAAATAGTCTTAATACATATATATATATATATATATATTAAAATGAAATTTCAAAAACCTAAGAAGTTGCATAGTTCGCCGAACATTTTACATTCATCAGTAATTTCTAAACATATTCAATACGTTAATAACAATTATCAAAAAAAAAAAAAAAACTAATAACACTATTGAATCAAATAAAAATCTTACAACTTCTCACAATTGTCCATAAACTTGAAATCGTCCATTAATCATATTCATAATTACTTACATTTCTTTCATGTCTGATTTTTGCCATAAACCTGACATCTTTCATTAACCATATTCATAATTACTTGCACTTCCTTCCTATTTGGTTGTTCCAACAACACTGGAACATGCGGATAAACCGGTTTAAGAATATGCCAAACTCATAATGAGTGTGACTATGAATTCTACATCACATTCTCTCATTATCGAAAGACATTGTTCGCTAGCTAAACGAACATCGGCTGAAACAAATTGCATATAATTAACTGTTCTCTTAGTAGCGCCACTTGATTACATGCCATCCAAAATTGCAGAAGATCATGTGTAGCTATTAAGTCATTCCCTGATTGTTGATCTTCCTCAACATGTGGCTTAAATATCGAAATTCTCTGAGCATTTGCTATATTTTGGATATCTAACCATGAAGTTGCATTTGAGAACAACATTACATTCAACGGGTAGGTTGGCGTTCCTATCCAACCAAACTCATCTATCAACCCAACAATGGTTTGCATATCATCTTCTATGACAGTCGGGATTTTTGGCTTTTGAACAAGCTGTCTTAACCACTAACAATGTATTTGTCCAAATTCTGTAGGTCGCAAATATCCATTCGTTTGTGGTTGAAATTCTACCATTTCCCGGTGTGCTACATTTTCGTTTTTCATTTACTGTCACTGTCAAGAATAAAACAACAATCAATACAAAATTAAATAACAATTAAACCATATAATTATTTGTTACTAAATATTAACGTTTCACTGCACATTTTAGGAGAGCATGTCAAAAAAACAAACGTCAAAAAGTACAAAAGTTGATAGCGGGCATTGTTAATTACTTTTTTAACATGTTCTCCTAAAATGTGCAGTGAAACGTTACTATTTAGTAACAAATAATTATATGGTTTAATTGTTATTTAATTTTGTATTGATTGTTTTATTCTTAACAGTGACAGTAAATGAAAAACAAAAACGTAGCACACGAAGAAATGGTAAAATTTCAGCAACAAACGACTGGATATTTGTGACTTACAGAATTTGGGCAGGCACATTGTTTGTGGTTAAATTCAAACTTATTACTAAGATATGGGACATGGTTGCTCCATTACTTAGGTAGACAGCTTGTTCAAAAGTCAAAAATCCTGATTGTCACCGAAGATGATGTACGAATCATTGCTAGGTTGATGGACGAGTTTGGTTGGATAGGAACACGAACCTACACGTTGAATGTAATATTGTTCCCAAAGCAACTCCGTGGTTAGATATCCAAAATGCAGCAAATGCTTAGAGAATTGCGATATTTAGGCCACGTGTTGAGGAAGATCAACAATCAAGGGACGAGTTAATAGCTGCACATGATCATATGCATTTTGGATGGCATGTAATCAAGTGGCGCTACTAAGAGAGTAGTTAATTATATGCAATCATGTATTTGTTTCAGCCGGTGTTCGTTTAGCTAGCGAGCAATATCTTCCGATAATGAGAGAACGTGATATAAAATCCATAGTCACACTCATTAATGAGTTTGGCTTATTTCTAAACTGGTTTATCTGCATGCGCCAATGTTGTTGGAACAACTAGATAGGGAGGAAGTGCAAGTAATTATGAATATGGTTAATGGATGATTTCAGGTTTCTGGCAACAACCAGATAGGAAAGAAGTGTAAGTAATTATGAATACGGTTAATGAACGATTTCAAGTTTACGGACAGGTGTGAGAAGTTGTAGGAATTTTATTTGATTCAATAGTGTTGTTAGTAGTTTTTTTTATTTTTATAATTGTTATTAACGTATTGATTATGTTTAGAAATTACTAATGAATGTAAAATGTTCGGCGAACTATGCAACTTCTTAGGTTTTTCAAATTTTATTTTAATATATATATATTTATGTATTAAGTTGGATTTATCAATCTCACGAAGTTTTTTGTTTATTTGGTTTCAAGGTTGTAAGGATGCGATTATAACATTTTTCCAAAACTCTTACCAACAAACTCAAACAAAATACACCTGCCCTCCTAAAACTCCGAGCAAATCCTAATGAAAAGTAACAACCAGCCACACACAGTGACGATCAAGGCAAGTCAAACAAAATCATTATAGAAAAACTTCATGAAAACCCGCAACTGAACCAGTGAAATTAATTACAAATTAGCTCTATAACTCTTATTTCACTGATTCGGTTGTTGGTTTTGATTTAGTTTTTCTGTGATGATTGTGTTTGACTTGCCTTAATTGTCACTTTGTGCGGCTGGTTGTTGCTCTTTCATCAGGATTTGCTGGGAGTTTTAGGCCAAGTTTGGCATCCTTAAAATAATCTATATTTTTATCTTTTTTCCATCACATCACATCTCTACTTTTCTGCACATCTTTTCGTAAAAAGACAAAAAGTACACTTATTTAGTTCATTCCAAACAACCCCTTAGTAAGGCTTGTGTATTTTGTTTTTGAGTTTTGTTGTTGGGAGTTCTATAAAAATGTTTTAATCGCATCCTTACAACCTTGAAACCAAATAAACAATTAAACAAACAACTTTGTGAAATCAATTAATCTAACTTAAAATAGTCTTAATACATATATATATATATATATATATATATATTAAAATGAAATTTCAAAAGCCTAAGAAGTTGCATAGTTTGCCGAACATTTTATATTCTACAGTAATTTCTAAACATATTAAGTACGTTAATAACAATTATCAAAAAAAAAAAAAGAAGCTAATAACAACACTATTGAATCAAATAAAATTCCTACAACTTCTCACAATTGTCCGTAAACTTGAAATCGTTCATTAACCGTATTCCTAATTACTTACATTTCTTCTCTGTCGGGTTGTTGCCATAAAACTGAAATCGTCCATTAACCATATTTATAATTACTTGCACTTCCTTCCTATTTGGTTGTTCCAACAACATTGGAGCATGTGGATAAACCGGTTTAGGAATACGCAAAACTCATTACTGAGTGTGACTATGGATTCTACATCACGTTCTCTCATTATTGGAAGACATTGCTCGCTAGCTAAACCAACACCGGCTAAAACAAATACTTGATTGCATATAATTAACTACTCTCTTTGTTGCGCCACTTGATTACATGCCATCCAAAACTGCATAAGATCATGTGTAGCTATTATCTCGTCCCCTTGATTGTTGATCTTTCTCAACATGTGGCCGAAATATCGTAATTCTCTGAGGATTTGCTATATTTTGCATATCTAATACTTGGGAACAACATTACATTCAATGGGTTGGTTGGTGTTCCTATCCAACCAAACTCGTCTATCAACCTAGCATTGATTTGTACCTCTTCTTCTGTGACAATCGGGATTTTTGGCTTTTGAACGAGCCGTCTACCTAAGTTATGGAGCAATCTTGTCCCATGTCTTAGTAATAAGTTTGAATTTAACCACAAATAATGCGTTTGTCCAAATTCTGTAAGTCGCAAATATCCATTCGTTTGTTGGTGAAATTCTACCTTTTCCCCGTGTGCTACGTTTTCGTTTTCCATTTATTGTCACTGTCAAGAATAAAACAACAATCAATACAAAATTAAATAACAATTAAATCATATAATTATTTGTTATTAAATATTAACGTTTCACTGCACATTTTAGGAGAGCATGCCAAAGTTGATAGCGGGCACTACTAATTGCTTTTTTGACATGCTCTTCTGAACTGTGCAGTGAAATGTTTATATTTTTAGTAACAAATAATTATATGGTTTAATTGTTATTTAATTTTGTATTGATTGTTGTTTTATTCTTAACAGTAACAGTAAATGAAAAACAAAAACGTAGCACACGAAGAAATGGTAGAATTTCAACAACAAACGACTGGATATTTGCGACTTACAGAATTTGGACAAGCACATTGTTTGTGGTTAAATTCAAACTTATTATTAAGATATGGGACAAGGTTGCTCCATAACTTAGGTAGACAGCTTGTTCAAAAGTCAAAAATCCCGATTGTCACCGAAGATGATGTACGAACCATTGTTATGTTGATAGATGAGTTTGGTTGGATAGGAACACGAACCTACCCGTTGAATGTAATGTTGTTCCCAAATGCAATATCCAAAATGTAGCAAATGCTCGAAGAATTGCGATATTTAGGCCACATGTTAAGGAAGATCAACAATCAGGGGATGAATTAATAGCTACACATGATCTTCTTATGCATTTTGGATGGCATGTAATCCAGTGGCGCTATTAAGAGAGCAGTTAATTACATGTAATCAAGTGTTTGTTTCAGCCGGTGTTCGTTTAGCTAGCAAGCAATGTCTTCTGATAATGAGAGAACGTGATGTAAAATCCATAATCACACTCATTAATGAGTTTGGCGTATTTCTAAACCGGTTTATTTGCATTCTCCAATGTTGTTGGAACAACCAGATAGGAAAGAAGTGCAAGTAATTACGAATATGGTTAATGGACGATGTCAGGTTTATGGCAACAACCAGACAGAGAAGAAATGTAAGTAACTATGAATATGGTTAATGGACGATTTCAGGTTTATGGACAATTTCGAGATGTTGTAGAAATTTTATTTGCTTCAATAGGGTTGTTAGTAGTTTGTATTTTTTATTATTAATTGTTATTAACGTATTGAATATGTTTAGAAATTACTAATGAAGGTAAAATGTCTGGCGAACTATGCAACTTAATGGGTTTTTGAAACTTCATTGTAATTTTGATCTACGAAATTTCATTTTAATGTGTATATATATATGTATTAAGACGATTTTAAGTTGGATTTATCGATCTCACGAAGTTGTTTGTTTATTTGGTTTCAAGGTTGTTAGGATGCGATTGAAACATTTTTCTAAAACTCTCACCGACAAACTCAAAAACAAAATACACACGTCTTCCTAAAACTCCCAACAAATCCGAATGAAAAGCAACAACTAGCCGCACAGTGACAATCCAGGCAAGTCAAACAAAATCATTATAGAAAAACTTCATTAAAACTAGCAATTGAATTAGTGAAATTAATTGCAAATCAGCTCTAGAACTCTAATGCTAAAACAATACAAAAGTCCAAAAACAGCGCAGACACACTCCAAAAAAGAAAAGAAAAGCATGGACGTTAAAAAAACAACGCCCAATTAGCTATGTTACACGGACTTTTCAAAATAAATCAAATACCTGTGTTGGACACCCGACACTTGGACATTGGTATTGGATATGTGTCGGATATTTTTCAACAGATACTTCTTATATAACATTATTATTATATGTTCATATTGTTGTATAATTGTTATAAATGTCATTTTGATATCATAAGTTACATATAGTACCATTTTATCTTACATACTTGATTAAAAATATAAAAATATGACAATTTTTGCCATGTCCGCGTACCCTTAAATTTATAAATTTATGATTTGATGAGTCTGACCTCTAAATACATACCCGCACCCGACACCAGTACTCGAGTCCTTGTAACATAGCCAATTAGTACATATTAAAGCATGGACATCATAAAGGATAAATAAAAATTATAAATTTAAACTTAACCTAGATGTACAATTAATTTTTTAATGACCTTTCCAAGATTAGAACTTAATTTACTTCCAAATTCTAAAAACAAATTACGCCATTAATCCTACACAAATATTCATATTTACCACCAAGCCATCACAAATTAGGCCAACAAACTAAATGTTGTAGGTAAGTGACAAGAGTTTAAACCTCTGTTTGCAAAATATCAACATTTTTTATTGAGTTTTTTTAAGAACAAACTCTCCTAGCTTGGTTGCGTTAAAGTTAAAGAATTTTCAAATTTGACTTTTTTGTTGAAACTTATTTTATCAAAATATTATATTGAGATGGCTCACCTGTGTGAGTAGCAGCTAAGAGTAAAATAAAATCAAAAACGCATTTTAAGATCACAAGCAAAACTTAAAACCCAAACCCTAGTTTCGCGATTCTGCACAAAAATTGAAGGCCAAGACCCAAACCCTAGTTTCATGATTCTGTACAGAAATTGAAGCCAAAACCCTAGTTTCGCGATGTCAGGGATTACCTGAGAGGTCGAGATTTGATCTTTTTTCCTGGTCGGTGATGAGAGAAAACCTCCTTCGGCAGCGTTGGTTTGTGAGAGAGAGAGAGAGAGATGCGTGCGGTGAGAGAGAGAAGTTGGCATTGTATGTTAAAAAAAATATTTTATTTGGGTTCCGCTGCCCCAATGATGCCACATCTCAAGAGGAGACTCACATGAGCATGAGCTTGTGACAGGCTTTTAACGATATAAAAGATGTGAATGTTGAGCTCACAGCCTTCACCTCCAAAGAGCTCGTCGAAGATCGACATTGGTCTCAAGTACGGAGAGGACCAGACCCCGTCACTGATGTGGCTTCTCGAATGCCTGCCGTCTACTTTGCTTGCCATAAGTAACGTAATAAATAAAGTCCTTTATTTGTATGTATTTATGGTTTTAGGCTGATTGAATTTGAATTTATTAGACATGAAATTCAATTCTAGGTTCCTACAAGGCTACCTAGGTTTTCTCCAACAAGGGTATTGGATTTTGGAGCTAGTACTGGTTTGGCAGCTAATTTGATTCGTCCTATATGGTTACTTGGGTAGTGAAGATTGATATTGGTTTTTATAAATTACTTGTGATTGTATTTTGCTAGTTGTGGTCAAATACTTTATTGGCATATTTGGTTCCAAAGGGCACTGTGAGAACTCTAGCCAAGATCTCCGGAAGGAATTAATTTAGTAAAGCCATTGCAATCGATGCAACGAGAATAAAGAGTAAGTTAGGATGCAAATGGAGCAATTTTGTATGCTCAATATGTTTTTGTTATGGTTCTTATTTACTAAAACATACAACAAAAATGTGAGGTGTATAAATGTGCGTGTCTGTAAACTTTGCTTGAAGGCCTGAAAGTTGTACCCTAGTTACACGTTGAACTGACCTATTTAGTTTTCAGCTTGTCATGCCATTTAGATTTTCAGTGATGATAATGGAAACTGGAAGTTGTTGAATTTGAATTCTAAAAACTTGGGTCAGCTACAAAAATCTTCTGTAACATGCAACTTTATCACAGCTACTTGAATCGTTGGACATGATCTTTTAGGTAGCCTTAAGTGTTGCTTTGTTAGGCCTTTGTTGTGATGGAAGAATAGTAACTCTTTGGTGTAGTGTTGTAAGCTCAAATTAGTATGTATATCTTCAATGCTCCATTCAACTTCTTGTACACAAGAAAATAGGTTTATATATATATATATATAAAGGGCAACAGTGCACAAGGCCTTTGCAAAAGCGGTGTGGGGAGGGCGAAGTATACGTAACCTTACCCCTGTTTCTAGAGAGATTGGTTTTATGATTCAAAGCCATGCCACCAGGACGTTTATAGAAGACATCAATTTTATTCCATTTAGAAAGGGAAAACACTAGGATGGAGAACAGAAATAGTAATCAATTTCGTGAGTCAGAATATGAAACTTTAGCAAAAATAATGCATTAATTTAGAAGTATTGAGACAACATAGCTCGAATGTTAGGCATTGGTTTTCTTATTTTGGGTTAGACAATTTGAAACATTATTTGTCATATTCACTGCTGGAAAATTCACTTTTAGTGGCGTCTTAAAAACGCTGCTAAAAGTACTAAAAACGTCGCTAATTCTTTTTGTAGCGTTTAGTACCAAACGCCGACAACGCGGCCGTCGCTATAACTTTATGGTGTTTAAAAACGTCGTTATATTAGTATAGGCGGCGTTTTTAGAAACGCCGCCAAATGTCCTACTAACTGTACCATGACGTCACTATGACATTTAGCAACGTTTTGAAAACGCTGTCATAGACATTTATACATTTTAAAAAATACATTTTAAAAATCTAGCCGTTGGGGTGGGATATAGTGACGTTTTTTAAACGTTGCCATATCCTTTTTTTCAAAAATTTTAAATTGTGCTAATTTTATATGGTTGAACAAAAAAAATACCTGTCAAACAATTATTAAAAACTAATAATTAATGTTTATTAAAATATTAAATAAACTAAGCTTGAAAACAAAATTAAAAATAAGAAACAATGCATTGCATACCTAAGAATAGAAACAATTCAGACTTTAAATACATCAATTAAAATCAAAATGGTCGAGAAGTGTAATTTGCCCAAAAAAATGAAAAAGGAATAGAAAGCACACTAATATGGCTCATAATATTAAAAATACCACTTGTCTTCCAACCATATCCAAAGATGAGCCTAAACTATATGCAACAGATGATACATTTGGAACCATACAGTACGTTATAATCCAATTAAACAAGATAAAAAGAATTAGAGGGGGGGGGGTGCAAAAGTAAAAGAACAAGAACAAATAAAAAAAGTTTCATCATATTCCCTCCAATGGCTTTTTCCCTCTCCTCTCACATAAATTCTACATGTAGCAACTTCATATCCATCATGATGATCATTCGGAGTTAAATAGCTTCACACAATTGGGTTTCAAATTATTCTGTCTTGTCTTCTTCCAAATCATCGTTCGATACCCCGTTGTTTCCACCATGTACTGATCCGACTTCAAGTGGACTTCGAATATCCTTTGAAGGCATAGGAGATGGTTTTATGAGTGTCAAAGTATTATCATCCCTGTCAAACTCTTCACTTGCTTCTCCCGAGTAAGTATAGCTGCCACATGTGAAAATATTCAATGTGGAGAAGAAAATAATTGACAATTAATTTTTATAAAATAGAAGAAGCCCTCTGCGAGGAGTTTGCAGCTAATTTCTATGTTCCACCATAAAATTGATCGACAGTTGGGGAGATTTTTCCTGGACACTCAAGTCTCTACGAGTTATTATGACCTAATGTGACAACAATCATAATACTCACAAATTACGACCTCAAGAATTAGTGATTAGAATAACAATATCATGCATCAAGCCTGCCGCATCACATCGATAAACAAATGTTACTTCGGTGGATTTTTTCAGAATTCAGGCATCAATACTTATATCACATATCAATAAAAATAGCAACGTAGGTGTCATTTCAGAATGCAGCATATCATAAAAGGAAAGTATTCTCCCTTCTCTCTGCAGACAGTGAGGCCAAATGAAGCCCAAGCTTACTTATATAAATTCCAAGGCACAAATAGAAAAATATGCACAAAATTTAGTCATTGGGCCCTAGCAGTGTTGAATGGGATACAAAGCACAAAATACAAAGAACATACATCACACCTTGACCTGCAAGTAAAATTTATTAAGATTCCTCACTATTTTCAATTTTCAAGAGCTAATGTCCATTACATTGACATTGGCACTATAAAACAGTTGATTCATTATCGTTGCCCCGATTACTGCCTAATCCAGAAATAACTAGAGCAAATCATTGTTTTATTTCATTTGAGATCAAATCAGAAATCAGCTTACTACAGAGCGCATGCCAAGGTTCAAACTCATCTATCATCGACACAAATAACATAATAAATAAATAGGGAATGTGGTTATCACTAGCACTGTATAAAGTTGTAGACATGTTTATAAGGATTTATGGAGTTCATAATTATAGGAGTATTCTACTACTAGCGTCAATCTCCACCATGGTTTTAGATAACATTTTAGAAGATTTTTGTTTTTTGGCTTTTTACGAGTTTTCATTTCCAAATGTTGGAGTCTTTTAGTTATACTTTGTTTCAATTCAGTTTATTTTACATTTACAGGAATTAAAATGTCCACCAAGCACTTTTTTATTAAGTAGAACTTATCTTCACATTTTTGTTATTTGTTTTTGCTTTTTTTTTTTCTCTTCCTATAGAGTATGTTTAACCTGATTAAAATACCATCTGATATATAGACTAATAAACAAAAATGTTTGACTCCTATTGTTAGCTAGATATGCAACACATTGAGCCCAAATATAGAAGTATGAACTTGCAGTTCCAAACAAACTAATTAATATTTGAATCTTTGCTAGCATAGCATGGTATTGTCAAAGGACCACATAATGAACATGATCAAAAGGTTTTTCCATATAACAATAATAATATAACTAAATATACCTGAAGCTTATTTAGAGTTGCAGAGAGGGAGGTAAATATCCAAAGAATGAAGAAAGCATCCAAGAGTGCCACAGGAAGAACCAAAAACAGTCTTGCTTTTCCTGAAAGATCACTGATAGCACCAACATTCTCTACCAGTTCAAGCACTTTAAATACATTAAGCCATGTGGCTCATATCCATATGTATCCATTTGTAATTAGAGCAATCAAATCTGGAATATGGTATGCAATGGTAGACACTTATTGTCATATAAAAAAAGAATACATACATCTTCATCTTGTGTGTAGCATTTTCTCGTCTACAATGGCAGCTAATTTCTGATCTGCCTATGTACTTCCTTTTCGCTTCGATGATTTTATGTACTAATTCAACCATTTTCTTCTCTGCCTGAAACAACCCATCTTCAAATTTATTATTAATTTCTCATAATAGTGTAAAATAAGAAAAATAAAGAAATTAATGTGACTAGATAATTAACTTGCCTGTAATGACCTGTGGAGTCTACTTCCAGGTATGTTAATTGGTAAAGACATGAGACCAGCCATGAATTCTTGAAATTGTTTCTTTAGAAACTCCGTGTCATCACCTGGATCCATGCTAACCAATGCCTTCACTAGTACTTGAAAAGCAATCTGAACAGAACATATGGACCTTCTTTAGTATAAGTAACATCTTTAAAGGGTTTGGAGATACTTGTGCATGTCTTGGGTGATCTGAGCTTTGAGATGTGAGGATTTGAAGAAAGACCCTATGAGGCCATGAATTTTCCTTTGCAAGCTTCCAGTGATGAGCAATATAGAAGACTTACCCATCAACTCAGTGAGAGATTTGGGATAAGAAGGCACAAAAGCCTTGCCATCACTTTGCAAAAGAAATCTACTCACTGCTGCATCTGTGGACACAATTGTAGGACTTCCAAGTAAATGTGACTTGAACACCTTCCCATACCTACGAATAAAAATTTCTATCATAATTCATGTAATCCCCAAACTTGGTTTCATCTTAATCAAGCTATTATGTGGGTTTTGAGTCTAGCCAGTTTAGTACAACTTATTGTAAATTAAAAATTAATAATTAAAAGGCAAACTCATCTATCAATTTTTAAATAATTAATTTTTTTAACTTATTTAAACTATTAGTAAAAGTCTAAACAATCTAAAATAGATTCTTAAAATAAAAAATAAAGAACTCAGATAAACTCTATCAAACATAGACATACAAGTGACGACGTCGGTCCATGAAGGTCTCAGGGTGGTTTGAGCAAGCACAGGACATGAAGGAGATGGTTTTGCAGAGAAAAGGCCATCCAAGAGTGCCTAAAGGAAGTGGGATTGACGATCTTCTACAACTCCTTCTCTTCTACAATTTGAGTACCTGTTGCAACTGTGATTAAAGCAGTGTAAAGCAGCCCAATAATGAGCAAGCATAAAAAAAAATCACAATTTTATGTGCTAGAATGAAGTTCCACAACAAGAGTGCCCAGGTAAATCGCTAGTAAGTAATGATTAGTACCAAAAAATTGAGGAATGACAATCTCTTGACTACCCGATTTAGAAAGGTTGCAACAGATTTCATCAGAGATATGAACAAAGCTATATTTACCAGTTTGCCCATACGCAAAACAAGTTGCTTTGGTCCGCTGAAAAATTATTGGAACAATAGGCTCCACAGTTTCACGTAAACCTATGGAAAGATAAGAAAACCAAGATTAACTAATGCCAAATGGCCTAATAAATTATTTCCATCACACCAAAACCATAAGTGGCTTGTATTTTCATTTTAGTTTCTTTTTTTTGCTTGTGCAGCGTACTCACCTCCTCATTTGAGACCTCTTCATTCAGCACTACATCAAAAACAAATTCATGCTTTTCCACAAGATTCTGTTAGGTCAACCTGCTGAATTTTGAGATATAGAACTTTTAACAACATATATGAAGTTTGAAAAAATGTGAACACAATCTATAACTGGGATAGCTTTGATATGAAAAAGGCCAAAATAAGAAAAGAGAATGGTAAAATAAAATTATATATGCTCATGTTATATAAGGACAAACTTGTATGTTTCCCCATTTTTAAGTTCCACCAACTATCAAGATTATAGCATTAACTAGGGGGCATAAAAAAATATAATATGTTGTTACCATAAGTTTGCTTCGCTTCTTCAAGCTCCACCCCTTACTAACTAATCTGACAAACTTAAACTCTCAAAACCTAACCCTCCATGCAATTACTGGAAATTCCTAGGAAAATAATAAATTAAATTTCAACTCTTAACTCCTACAATTCATGTTCTTTTTGTTTCAACAAGCAAAAAAACTCCATGATTTAAAAAATAATAATAAAATAATTTCAAATCAACCAAAACTTGTTGGCGGCTAGATTCTTGGCTATTTGGGAGCCAAAATCGTGAGAAACCTAACATCATATTTTAATAAATGTCCTTTCCTATATTTCCTTCTAACAAAGTAGAGCAATAATTTAAATTCAACCCTAGTTTCTTTACATCTACATTTTCTCAGCAACCAAACAAAGACTGCATAAGTATAAAAATGCTCTCAAAAGACAGGACTCTCACCATAGGATGCCCCTGTGCAGTCTTGAGGAGAGAAAGTGGAAGCTGAAATAGAAACAACCAAATCATTAAAAAATGATCCGACAGATCTCCAAAGTACACCAAAACAAACCAAATCATTAAAGAATGATACCAGAGATCTCCAATGATATCACTTGCTTCTTGTCTCATACCACACACACAGCCATGCAGAGAGAGACAGAGTGCACAAATATGGCTGCACAGTGGTGAGGTGGTGGTTGGAGTGAAACACAGATAAGAAGATGAAAAATGAAAAATGAAAATATATATATTGGAAAAGAGCATTAAGCAATTTCCCCCCCTAAATTAGTTCCAGCACAACACCACATGCCTGAATAATGCATGAGCTTCACACACTCTTATTTTTGAATTAAGGGTTTCTGTTAATTTCGTACTACAAGGACCATAGGGATTTATGAGGAAACATGTATTTTAGAATGAAAATCTCATATCTAAAAGGATATTGTTTCGAATGAAAATTTTTAATGAGGAAAGACTATATATTTTCGAATGAGAAATTTCAAATCTCAAACAAATATTTTTGAATGAGAAATTTCAAATCATAAACATATATTTTTGAATGAGAAATCTTAGATCTGAAACATGTGTTTTTGAATAAGAAATTCCAGATCTCAAACATATTTTTGAATAAGAAATCTCAGATCCGAAACATATGTTTTTGAATAAGAAATCTTGAGAAACCTAACATCATATTTTAATAAATTTCTTTTCCTGTATTTCCTTCTAACAAAGCAGAGCAATAATTTAAATTCAACCCTAGTTTCTTTACATCTACATTTTCTCAGCAACCAAACAAAGACTGCATAAGTATAAAATGCTCTCAAAAGACAGGACTCTCACCATAGGATGCCCCTGTGCAGTCTTGAGGAGAGAAAGTGGAAGCTGAAATAGAAACAACCAAATCATTAAAAAATGATCCGACAGATCTCCAAAGTACACCAAAACAAACCAAATCATTAAAGAATGATACCAGAGATCTCCAATGATATCACTTGCTTCTTGTCTCATACCACACACACAGCCATGCAGAGAGAGACAGAGTGCACAAATATGGCTGCACAGTGGTGAGGTGGTGGTTGGAGTGAAACACAGATAAGAAGATGAAAAATGAAAAATGAAAATATATATATTGGAAAAGAGCATTAAGCAAATTTCCCCCCCTAAATTAGTTCCAGCACAACACCACATGCCTAAATAATGCATGAGCTTCACACACTCTTATTTTTGAATTAAGGGTTTCTGTTAATTTCGTACTACAAGGACCATAGGGATTTATGAGGAAACATGTATTTTAGAATGAAAATCTCATATCTAAAAGGATATTGTTTCGAATGAAAATTTTTAATGAGGAAAGACTATATATTTTCGAATGAGAAATTTCAAATCTCAAACAAATATTTTTGAATGAGAAATTTCAAATCATAAACATATATTTTTGAATGAGAAATCTTAGATCTGAAACATTTGTTTTTGAATAAGAAATTCCAAATCTCAAACATATTTTTGAATGAGAAATCTCAGATCCAAAACATATGTTTTTGAATAAGAAATCTCAAATCTCAAACATATTTTTGAATGAGAAATCTCATATTTGAAACATATATTTTTGAATGAGAAATCTCAGATCTGAAATCTTAAACTTATGTAAACCCTAGGAGAAGAATCGATGGAAGGAAAAGCTTGAGAGAGAGAGAGAGAGAGAGAGAATACGAAATTGAGATTGTAGACGGTGGTGCTCACCTTAGTCAACGGTGGTGATGGTGGTGGCGGTGGAGGTTCGAAATCGAGAGAGAGAGAGAACTTCGAAATCGAAATCACTTTGAGATTGGATCTGAGATGAAACCGAGCTGAAGAAGGTTGAATCTTAATCTCTAAGACTGAAAGGTTTAGAGAGAGATCGAGTGAGTGAGAGATTTGAGGGATTGGTTTCTCTGAGACTAAAGGTTTCCCATATTCAAAATGAGGGCCTGAAGAGAGAGACAGTGAGAACGGTTCTGATTCTCACAGAGCTAAGAGAGAGAGAGAGAGGAATAACATTGTAACACGTGTGAAGGCATTGAAAAAACGACTTCTATTCCTTAAACGGTACCGTTTTAATTAAAATAAAAGGCAACGTTTATAAAACGTCGTTAAAGGTTAGAAACAGTAGTGTTTAAAAAAACGTCGCTAAAAAAACGCCGTTAAATTCTATATTTCCTGTAGTGATTATTGAAGTTAACAAACAATATAGTGTTACTAATTAGGTAAGTAATGCATGTTGTTATATGAGTAGATTTATTAGGGTTGTAATACAAATTACAATAGCAAATAGCATGTCTCAGTGTTATGTGCTCCGACTTTTATTTGAGTTTCTTCCGGTTTTCTTGAGATGTTGACTTGTCATTCTTTATGGAATTGGTTATACTTTGTTGCAACTCTTCATTTTTTTTGGTTGTCAACAAGGGAAAAAGAGGTTTGTGTCAAGAAAACTTCTAATATTTTTATTAATGGTTATTGTAGATCTGAAGAATTTGCTACTTATTTATAGCTATAATAGCATTCAGTCGCTAACTAAGAATATCAATAAATCTGACACAGAGCATGACCTCGTCATTGTTGTAAGTTTTATTTTCCCCTCCATTATTGTCTTTGGTCCGGGCCTATGAAGCTTGGATACTTCTAGAAGGGAGTCATGCATGTATCGGATATTGATACTCCTCTAATCTGTGTTACCAAAAAAATGCTAGTATCCTAGGGAATTACGTTTTGGAATGCACATTCTGAAACATTACTCCGTTCCAAAACCGTAAATTTAGTGATCCGAAGCAATCCCAAAATATTTCTTTAAATGTTTTCTTGGGAGGGAAAAAGATATATATAATGAACTAAATCTTAGAGGAGTGAAGCTTTAACATGACATATTTGTGTACAACACTTCTGCATGTAACACATTGAAGTATGAAAGTGAAAAAGTACAAGGGGAATAAAAACAGTTTCGACATAATAATGAAATGAAATTTGTATAAGACCTATTAAAAAAGACGTAAAGTGGCTGGCCATTATCTTGTAATCTAATGCCTAATTCCTAGGGAATGGTTTCTCACCATTCTTTGAGCTTATTATAATACAATACTAAAACTTATTAAAATAGTATTTCTTATGAACGTATCCTTGTCGTACATGCATCCTATTTTTTAAGGTTTTTAAAGGTTTTTTTATTTTATTTTTTTATTTTAATATCTTCATATCCATATCATAGCCATATCCCGTATCTGTATCCATATCCATGCTTCATAAAGTCTGGGTGTTTCTTTTACTTATGCTCTAGAATAAAACTGATGGTAACAGGCTTTTACTTGATAGTGCTATCTCTACCAACTACTCTTGAGAACTATTTTATGCAACCCTGATTTGTGCTAATTAATGCTTAATTTTTGTTGCTGCCGGGTGAAGTCCTATGTGCTTGGAGAGATAGCATCACCGCAGGACAGAATTACCATTGTGCACTAGCTTTGGGATCTTACACGAGATGTTCTGGTAAATTTTTAAGTCCGTGGATAAGTTTCATGTCTCAGTATGTGCAAGCTTATGTGTTGAAGGTATATGTGATTTGGTTGCATTGTTGATTAATATAATTCAAAAAAAGAAAAAACATAGAATGTCCATAGTTGTTACTTTGTTTCATGGTTTAAAATTTTCTGTCAATTTGTTCTTTACTTTTCCTTGGGAAGTGTCAATTTATTCCTATTATATTTATTATTTTAATCCTTCAAGGGGTATTTTTCATGGGCGAGGCTTTCTCAGCATTTGTTTCTGGGGCTATAGATGTTGGATCAATCTATATCTTGATATTAATCAGCAAGTTGAGCATTTCAAAATAGTAGAGTGTGAAAAAAGTGAAAACATGTGAAGTATGAATTGTCAGTTATCTCTCATTATGTAAACAAAGTCTTTGTCAGTTATCTCTCATTATGTAAACAAAGTATTCTTCAAGATGGATAGTATACATTGAGGAATGTTTAGATGACTTGCCCAAGATATATCATGCTAACAACTTTCCATTGGACACTTCTCATATATTTGTATTTAACATTATCTTACATGTATCATTTGTTGTGTAATCGTGATAAAACACTTTTTTTGATGTTGTATGTTACATATAGTATCATTTTATCTCACATAATAGATTAAAAATATAAAAATGACTCTTTTTTGCTGATTCTACGTATCCTTAAGTTTGAGATTTGATGAGTTCATTCTCTAGATACGCAATAGTTTGCAATAATAACTAATGCCTCGTTTGGCAACCAAACTTTTTAGTCAAAAAGTCAAAAAGTTACTAAATTAGCCAAAAAGCCAACAACCCATACCAAAAAGTCAAAGATTCTCTTTTCTCTCTACTTTTTGCACATCTTTTCGTAAAAAGCCAAAAAGTCATCCCAAACATACTAGTTTTTTTTAGCTCATAGTTTAGCCAAATAGCCAAAAAGTTACTAAATTGGCATGTTCCCAAACGGGGCCTAAGAGCTCCATTTATGTTTATAATTTAGAAGTATTACTCCATTACCTTTTGTTAATATGTTTCTTTTATAATTTTTGAAGCACATTTGTTTTAGTTAGAGAGAAGTTTTAGTGACCTTGCTACTAAGCATGAACTCAATCCAGTTGACCTTTGTTTTGGTTTATTTGCTTATTTATTTATGTCCATAACTGTTAACTGTGTTACATGGACTCGGCAGTTTGGGGCGAAGTACCCGTGTCGACATGACATGGGTGCGGGTGTGGGATCTATGTTGGATTCGCCTCCTCCCTCTCAGACACGGCTAATCAAGAAGGAAGGAAAGTCAAGATACTTGCATCGATGTATTGAGTTCGAGATCTAGATTTGTTGAATCCTTAGTAGTAGGAATCGTGGATCTTGATCTCTCTAACTTTCGATCTTATTCTCTCTGTCTTGATCTCCTTTTCTCTCTCCATCTTGATCTCCTCTCTCTCGATCTTGCTGTGCGTGTGTGCGAGAAGAGAAGAGAAGACTGTCTAAGGGATCTGTTAGTAATGGACCTGCAACTCCATTTGCATAGTGGCAGCTGATTGAGCTCTTCCATGGCAAATGAAGTGCAAACCATCAATCAAGGAAAGGCTGTAATGTTTTCATTCTAACATCATGTTATTTTAAGTTTGACCGAAACCCCAAATGATGTTACATGGACTATTCTAAGTGTGTGAAGTACCCGGGCTGGGCACTTGACACTGGGGCATTTTATTGATATATGTCCAACATGTGTAATTTAACATTTACTTATCAAGCATGTAGTAATTTAAGCTTACCGTATAATTATGCATTAGAATAAACTTTCATATAATGCATGAAATCCTGTGTCACCTTATAATAACTCTCATCCTAAAAATAAAAGTAGAATATTAAGAAAAATGAATATTTGTCGTGTCATCTTTTCTTATACATGAGAATTAGATGAATCCTGACACTACACATACCCTACTTGACAGTTTTACTCAGGTCCCATGTAACATACCCCAAACATCGTGGATACAACAGCAAATTGTCTAGTAATTTGAGGCACAGGCCAGAACCGGAAGGCATGAATATGCAGGCTCCTGCATCTTCCCACAAACTACTTTTACTTTTGCAATTTTTCATGATGGGTTTGTCGTCCCTTACTGCAAGGTTAGTCTTATTTAACTTGCTTTTGGGATCTTGGAAAAATAACCAATCATGGGATGACATGCTTCCTCTTTTTTTCCCATCGTGGGTATGTTGGATGACATATCTCAGTGCTTGCTGTGACACATTCAAAAAATAAACTTCTAATATCTTGATGGTCAAATCAGTTTGCGTATCTGCTGATTTAAATGTAGATATTTAACCAACTCTTCAAAAATTATTTTTCACTTCTTTGAGCTTTGATGTAATGCTATATGAATATTCTTGTGGTTGTGATTATTCTGTATTTCGAGAAATTTATTTTTTTCATTAATGACCTTGATAGAGGACCAATTCGAATATGAAGGTGAGAACTTTCCACATGAAGACAATCCAATGTCGTGATTCTGATATTGTAGAAACAGATGCCATCACTGAGAATCATTTACACTCGTGCTGATCTTGGGAGTGGCTGGGGCAGAATAATTCACACTCCTGTTAGGAGGGGCAAGCGGGTTGAAATGGATGTCTGTTGAGCAACCAATCATGATGGCTCTGAGGGCTTGTTTGAGTGCATTGTTATTACGTAAAGTAAGAATCCTACGTTTCATCATCAAGCCCGAAGATCTCTTGGGGAGATTTGTGGCCCTTTTGATACCATTCTGTAATTGTTATCATTATATTGTTTTGTGTTTTTTAATTTTACAAATGTAAATGTGAACCATGTTGTTAAGTCATCAAAGAATGAGATATTGTTCTTGCTCGCTCCATTTTTTGATTTTATCTTTTTGAGTTGTAGTATTATGCATTGAGAGAAGTAATCGAACACAAATTTGATAGATCGAAGATGAACAGCATGCTATTGATGCTTATTGTAAACTTGTTTTGGATTTATGAACTCAGGATAAAAATGGGTTAATTGTTGTTCCAAAGGTGCTAGTTACCCAACTCTAGCAGTGGCAATTTGTTTAGTCAAGATGAGTTGATGGGTTGAATTTTATTTTATTTTTTGTGGAGTTAATTACAGTAAGTTTTATAAGTTTGACATAATTTAACTTAATTTGAGGTTTGATAATGCAGTCCGTCCCGGGTGGATGGGTCGGGTTGGTCCAAGCTCTTCAAGCTCCGGTTCAGGGTGATGATTCCGCCAAATGACCTGCAAGTAAGTCCAAAGGGGAACGGGGCAGTCCCCCAGTGAACCCTCCGGCGAGAGAATCAGTAGAAGAAGGAAATGTAGAGAGAGAGAGAGAGAGAGAGGGATAAAAAGCTTAACCTTCCTCTTGTCTTCTATTCTTGCTTATATCCTTTGGTAATCATTTCACTGTCCCTTGTGACGTGCCCCCTTCCGCCGAAAGCCTGTGCCGTAGCTTACCTTGTTCAGGGTGAGGGGGCTCTGTTCCGACGGGGAGGTGTTGTCGTAATAAATGCTGTGATGGGCTGCATTAATGGTGATGTGTTGTGGTAATAACTCTGCAGATCTTTGTCTGCTGATGTGGCCTGTGTTCCACCTGCCATGTACCCGAATGCCATTGGCCCTCCATGTCTAGATGGCCTCCAGCTACCCTGGGCTTTGCCAACCGGGTTATGCTATTGGTCCCAAGCGATGGGTTTGGGGTGGTTTGCTGTGGGCCGTATGCCTTGTGGGCCTATCCATGTCAGTAGTCCCCCATTTCCGAGTGCAGCTTTAGCCCAACGAAGGGAATAGTAATAAGGAAGAGAAGTGCGAACCGAGTGGAGAGGCCGACTGGAAGCCGTGCCGACCGCAAGGGTGACTGAGCGGGAGAAGCTGACCGTGAGGGTGGCCGAGTGAGAGGGGTCGACCGTGAGACGTGCCGACCGCGAGGGTGGCCGAGCGGGAGGGGGCGACCGTGAGGGTGGTCGAGCAGGAGGGGTCGACCGTGAGGCGTGCCAACCGCGAGGGTGACCGAGCGGGAGGGGTCGATCGCTAGGCGTGCCGACCAGGATAGCGCGGGGCTCAAAAAGAAAGGGAGTGGGGTGGGGCCATGTGATGATGTGAAATGGAAAGGATAGGGTAAGGGGAGGGGACAGTGCATCGTGGCCATACACGTGGCAATATCGTGAGGGAAGTGAAGCGTTGGAGCAGAAATGAAACGATAGGTCACGAGAGGGGTTTTAAAAAGGCGGTTTTGGCGGTAGATTTGAAAGGTTTTGAAATGGGCGAAAATTAATGTGGATCCATGGAATACGGGTAAACCGTGGGTATTTGGTATAATGCGTTTCACCTACCTTTTTACAAAAACTCAAAATATCCAAGTGTGAATTCCTTCATTGCGTACGACACACCTGTGTAGCATTTTCTCAACTTCCTTGCTCCTGCGTCAGAAGTGATTTGTAAGCAAACCCTAGAAATGGCACAAGAAGAAGTAGTCAATGTGAGGGTGGACCTGCTGGGAGACGATGATGCGGAGGAGCTAGCAGCGCGATATAGGACGGAGACACGAATGGTGGGGGTGGGGGAACCGGTGGGAGAATCGCAGGCGTCGGCCCTAATATTGGCTCCAAAGCCACTAAGCCAGGTAGAGCCAGATTAGTGGCACACCAAGGCGGACAAATCCACACTCACTGCGGCGGATTTGGAGGCTATCAGGGAATGATACTAGATTCCGGCGGAGGTGGAGTTATTGCTGCCAACATCAAGGGAAAGGCCGTCTGATGCTAGGCCAGGGGAGTTTTCCCTGTACGAGGAGGCGCTAAAAGGTGGGTTGAGGTTGCCATTGCCCCAAGTGGTGGTTGACGTGCTGAATCGCTTGGAGGTAACGCCGGGGCAATTGATGCCTAATGCATGGAAGATTCTGCTAGCCTATGCGAGTGCGTGGCCCAAGGCGAATGGAGGTGAGGCCATGACGGTAGACAAGTTCTTTTCGTGTTACAAGGCGTCGGGGCAGCAAGAAACGTGGGTCACCCTACAGGCGGTGATGAGGAGGGGATTGGTGGCGGGGCTGCCGACATCGATCAAGGGGTGGCGGCCACGGTGGTTCTACTTGTCTGCTAATGGGGGAGTGGGGGTGCGCACCATCTGGAAGGTGCCAACTAGGTCGATGGAGCCGAGACTGAGGGCAGTGGCGGAAGAGAGGGTGAAGAGAGTGAAGGAGTGGAGGGAGGGAGAGAAGGCCAAATGGGACGAGCTTGTTCAACCGTCCGCATTGTTTGAGGCGAGGCTGGGACCGCAGCCGAAGGGTGGGGACCTCGACCGAGCAGAATTGGAGGCGAGAAGAGAAGCTCAGGAGGTAGAGGATCAGGCCGTTCTGGCCAAGGCCACGAAGTTGAAGGAAGCGCGAGGAG